GGGGGCATCGGAGGCTGTCTGGAGACCATCGTCAGCATCTTGGAGTAGTCTTTCGGCGACTCGTAGCCCTCTTGGGCCGTCTGGGAGGCGTCTTGGTGTCTTCCTGGCTCATTTTGGACCTCCCCCTCTTCCCCCTGGCGCGCATTGTCCGGGGTCGTACCGGGCCCGGGGGGGGTCAAGTTGATGGTTTGGGGTCCTGGGGGGTGGATTATGGGGGGGACCTATCTTACACGCCTAGAGACCCGCAAGGGGTCGGCGGACATAGGCACCGTCGTCATCGTTGTAACGAGTATGGGAGCCGTCATTGGCTGGGCCGTCATCGTTACCATAGACCCCGCTTTCGGTATTATAATCATCGTTGCCGCCGCCGTTGCCGACATTCTGATATCGCGCCCGCCCGAGTCGCAGAGTTGCACTGAAGTGCCCACGCGCCAGCGCGGCCTTTGAGACGCGCTGGGCTCCCATCGGCCGCATCAGTTGTAACACACCAGCTGGTCGCTCTGCGCTTGAGCGGGCGCGCGCCAGTGCGGCCGTCGAGACTCGCTGGCCATTGCGAATGTGGAGAATGGTTTCGCCAAACAAGTTGCGGGTGGGAGGGTGGGATGTTTGCGCGAGCAGCGGAGTTGACGATTTCACAAGATATATTGCGCAAGTCGGCGATGCGTCTCGATGTGAAATCTCGTTTTTGTTTAACGCCGACGGCGCTGATGCATCGGAGAATTCCGGAGAGACGTCCTGTTGTTTCCTTCGGTCTTCCTGTCGTTCCTCTCCGATTCAGCGCAGTGGAGAGAGACGAATCCGGCGCAATCTTGGGCTGAGTGTTGGGCGCTTTCCCGGTCACTACCTCCGGACTCGGCCATGATCATTCGCAATTGGTCCCACAAAGACTTCGCAAGAGTTGACTCCTATCTTCTCGACCTTTCCCTGCTTGCTTCGCGGCAAGCGGCTCTGCATCCTCGCGGCGACAGCGAGCGGAAGCCGAAGCGCAAGACCACAGGGAGCCCGCGCGCCCGGCCAAAGGGCGCGCATGCTTGCAGGTTCGGGTCGTGTCGATGCGGCGGCGGCCCCGCCGCGGACGTTCAAGGTTGAACGCCGCCGGTGGCCCGGAACTGTCGGGGGTGGACAGAACCCCCAACAGTGACACGTCGGTTAGTGAATTGTCCGTTTTCGGTTCTCGAGAGGGCGTCGCGGCCGTTATTTCCCAGGCTTGCGCCCGCCAGGTTTGGGCCTCAGGTGGTTTTCACTAAACCACGTTTTACTAAAGGCGGGTCTGTCCATCCCCGAAATTGGCCAATCTGGAAGGAGTTGGCGATCGAAATGCCGTGGATTGTTGAAGGCTGAACAATCCACGTGGAATCGGAGATCAACGCCTGGGTCGTCACGACAAGATGTTGCCGCAGTTGGCGATGGGAGGAGGCATCGGTGGGGCATACACCAGCCTCCTCATCCTCGTCCTGAGGGTGCAACTCCTGGGAGGTCACATTCAGCGCTTGTACGTCTGTGGTCGAAGGGCGGCCTGATCTGGCAGAGTCCCGTCTTATCAAGATTCTTCCCGCTGAGTGCAGGGGGATCCGCCCCCTGCTCAATTCGGCCTCGTCCTGCTCAATGGCCCCCTGATCGGGCTCAATAGCCCTTCATCGTTCTGACGAGGACCTGCCAAGAGTTGCTTCCCGTCCTCCTCGCGAGAATCGCGCACGAAGCTCGCCATGACAAGGTTGAGGGCGTCTGCTAGTATCGGAGGTTGGGGGGTGAGATCGCAGTGGAACGGAGACCCCCAACCGGGAAATCGTTTCGTTTCGTTGTTGTCGTGCGTGCGGGCGAGGCAAAGCTTCGTGGGCGCGCGAGAAGAATGAACCCGCCGTTGCTAGGGCGAAGTCAAGGCAAATGATTATCATCTGTCCGTCCAGCGGTGGCCCTAGCGATGTCCCGTGGTGTCCCGTGGTGTCCCTTGGTGTCCTCCGTTGCTAGGGCGAGGTCAAGACAAATGATTCTCCTCCGTCCGGCGGTGGCCCTAGCGGTGTCCCGCGGTGTCCAGTGGTGTCCGCCGTTGTTAGGGCGAAGTCAAGACAAATGATTCTCCTCCGTCCCGCGGTGACCCTAGCGGTGTCCCGTGGTGTCCCGGTGAGTGAGGTCGATCGTGAGATCGATAGTGAGATCGACAAGTGTCCCGTGGTGTCCCGTAGTGTCCCGTTGACTGAGATCGATAGTGATATTGATGTGGTGACCCGAGGTGTCCCGTGGTGTCTTCAAAAGTGAGATCGATAGTGAGATCGATAGTGAAATCGACAGGTGTCCCGTGGTGTCCCGTGGTGTCCCGTTGAGTGAGATCGATAGTGGGATCGATAGTGAGATCGATATTGAGATCGATGTGGTGCCCCGAGGTGTCCAGTGGTATCCCGTGGTGGCCCAAAAAGTGAGATCGATGTTGAGATTGACAGTGATATCGACAGGTGTCCCTTGGTGTCCCGTGGTGTCCCGTGGTGTCCCGTGGTGTCCCGGTGAGCGAGATCGATAGTGAGACCGACAGTGAGATCGAGTTGTGTCTCGCGGTGTCCCGTGGTGTCCCGTGGTGGCCCGTGATGTCCCGTGGTTTCTTGTTGAGTGAGATCGATAGTGAGATCGACAAGTGTCCCGTGGTGTCCCGTGGTGTCCCGTATAGTGAGATCGATAGTGAGATCGATAGTGAGATCGATAGTGGGATCGATGTGGTGTCCCGTGGTGTCCCATGGTGTCCCGTCGAGTGAGATCGATAGTGAGATCGAGAGTGAGACCGACAGTGAGATCGAGTTGTGTCCCGCGGTGTCCTGTGGTGTCCCGTGTTGGCCCGTGGTGTCCCGTGGTTTCTTGTTGAGTGAGATCGATAGTGAGATCGACAAGTGTCCCGTGGTGTCCCGTGGTGTCCCCTTGAGTGAGATCGATAGTGAGATCGATATTGAGATCGATATTGGGATCGATGTGGTGTCCCGTGGTGTCCCATTGTGTCCCGTCGAGTGAGATCGATAGTGAGATCGAGAGTGAGGCCGACAGTGAGATCGAGTTGTGTCCCGCGGTGTCCCGTGGTGGCCCGTGGTGTCCCGTGGTTTCGTGTTGAGTGAGATCGATAGTGAGATCGACAAGTGTCCCGTGGTGTCCCGTGGTGTCCCGTTGAGTGAGATCGATAGTGAGATCGATAGTGGGATCGATGTGGTGTCCCGTGGTGTCCCATGGTGTCCCGTCGAGTGAGATCGATAGTGAGATCGAGAGTGAGACCGACCATGAGATCGAGTTGTGTCCCGCGGTGTCCCGTGGTGGCCCATGGTGTCCCGTGGTTTCTTGTTGAGTGAGATCGATAGTGAGATCGACAAGTGTCCCGTGGTGTCCCGTGGTGTCCCGTTGAGTGAGATCGATAGTGAGATCGATAGTGAGATCGATATTGGGATCGATGTGGTGTCCCGTGGTGTCCCATGGTGGCCCGTCGAGTGAGATCGATAGTCAGATCGAGAGTGAGACCGACAGTGAGATCGAGTTGTGTCCCGCGGTGTCCCGTGGTGGCCCGTGGTGGCCCGTGGTTTCTTGTTGAGTGAGATCGATAGTGAGATCGGCAAGTGTCCCGTGGTGTCCCGTGTTGTCCCGTTGAGTGAGATCGATAGTGGGATCGATAGTGAGATCGATAGTGGGATCGATGTGGTGTCCCGTGGTGTCCCATGGTGTCCCGTCGAGTGAGATCGATAGTCAGATCGAGAGTGAGACCGACAGTGAGATCGAGTTGTGTCCCGCGGTGTCCCGTGGTGGCCCGTGGTGTCCCGTGGTTTCTTGAGTGAGATCGATAGTGAGATCGACAAGTGTCCCGTGGTGATCGATAGTGAGATCGATAGTGAGATCGATAGTGGGATCGATGTGGTGTCCCGTGGTGTCCCATGGTGTCCCGTCGAGTGAGATCGATAGTGAGATCGAGAGTGAGACCGACAGTGAGATCGAGTTGTGTCCCGCGGTGTCCCGTGGTGGCCCGTGGTGTCCCGTGGTTTCTTGTTGAGTGAGATCGATAGTGAGATCGACAAGTGTCCCGGGGTGTCCCGTTGAGTGAGATCGATAGTGAGATCGATAGTGAGATCGATAGTGGGATCGATGTGGTGTCCCGTGGTGTCCCATGGTGTCCCGTCGAGTGAGATCGATAGTGAGATCGAGAGTGAGACCGACAGTGAGATCGAGTTGTGTCCCGCGGTGTCCCGTGGTGGCCCGTGGTGTCCCGTGGTTTCTTGTTGAGTGAGATCGATAGTGAGATCGACAAGTGTCCCGTGGTGCCCCGTTGAGTGAGATCGATAGTGAGATCGATAGTGGGATCGATGTGGTGTCCCGTGGTGTCCCATGGTGTCCCATCCAGTGAGATCGATAGTGAGATCGAGAGTGAGGCCAGTGAGATCGAGTTGTGTCCCGCGGTGTCCCGTGGTGGCCCGTGGGGTCCCGTGGTCTCTTGTTGAGTGAGATAGATAGTGAGATCGACAAGTGTCCCGTGGTGTCCCGTTGAGTGAGATCGATAGTGAGATCGATAGTGAGATCGATAGTGGGATCGATGTGGTGTCCCGTGGTGTCCCATGGTGTCCCGTCGAGTGAGATCGATAGTGAGATCGAGAGTGAGATCGAGAGTGAGACCGACAGTGAGATCGAGTTGTGTCCCGCGGTGTCCCGTGGTGGCCCGTGGTGTCCCGTGGTTTCGTGTTGAGTGAGATCGATAGTGAGATCGACAAGTGTCCCGGGGTGTCCCGTTGAGTGAGATCGATAGTGAGAGCGAGTGAGTCAGATGTTGGTTCCCGTCTCTCTGCCCCCCCACAACCTCCTTATCACCCGAAGGGTGGTTGTATAGGCATTCAGTCTGGTGCGCTCTCTTGTCTAGCAGGGGTCCCTCGTGGGCTCTGTGGGTCATGGTCGTTGAGGCTCCTGGGGGTTCTCGAATAAGAGCTGCTGGCCTGTGGAGAACTTGTTCGCCTCAGGGGGTGCTGCTCCTCTTGGGAATCCCGCGGGAGGTCAACGCCTTCACTATCGCGTCCCGCCACGACCTCGCGGGCACGCCCATCCGGGTGACCGCCATCAGCCCGGGCATGGTGGACACCGAGTTCTCGCAGGCGGCTGGGGCGGGGGAGGATCGCGTTTGGTGAGGCTTCGGCCTGCGCGCAGACAGTCCACCCCAGGTAGTCGCAAGTCGGGCACGTTGCCATGTACAAGAGGAGTACTCCAAGGCAGCGCAACAAAAAAAAACTGGGGACGAATGCCCGATTGTTTTCTGACTACATTGGGGCATTCCTGTGTTGGTGTCTCTCTTTTTTTCGTCCAAAATCGGCCTGTACGAGAGCATGCCCGACCTAGAGGGTAGCCGCGGCCAGCCTCCACGGCCCCCCCCGAGTCTTCCAGGCCGGGGGAGGGGGAGGGGGGAAGGGTGAGGGGGAGGGGGAAGGGGGGAAGGGGGAAAGGGGGAAAGGGGGAGGAGGTGGGGGAGGGAGGGAGGAGCAGGAGCAGGATCAGGAGCAGGAGGAGGAGGAGGACCAGTGGAAACCCAAGAGTCATCAACGATGTTGGAAGTAACCCTCCCTCCAAGCTCCCTCTTCATAGGCCCTTACAACGGTTCATTTCCATTCAGGGAACTTCCTCGCTGGAAGACAACAGTTTGAAGATCCTGAAGCGTGCCAAAACATGTTCCCCGGAATATCAACGCCACGCATCAACCTGACTGCAGCGTCGTGACGATCCAAGATCGTGCCAGAACGCCATTGTGGGGACTTCAACACAGCGAATCAACATAACTGTTGCGCCCGCATAATCCGGAATCCTTCCAAAACACCGTTTCTGCACGTTGAGCATGGGAACCCGTGAAGCTCTTGCACATGTTGAAAACGAAAGTGCGCGGCGCTAAGGCGAGAGCCACATTCTGAAAACGACCCATCTTCAATCCGTGAAACTCTTGCAAGTGTTTAAAACGAATGTGCGCGGCGCTCAGGCGAGAGCCACATTTTGAAAACCACCCGCCCTCAATCCGTGAAGCTCTTGCAAGAGTATTGCAAGAATGTGCGCGGCGCTAAGGTCTTGCAAGTGTTTAAAACGAATGTGCGCGGCGCTCAAGCGAGAGCCACATTTTGAAAACCACCCGCCCTCAATCCGTGAAGCTCGTGCAAAAGTTTTACAATAATTTGCGCGGCGCTAAGGCGAGAACCACATTTTGAAAACGACCCGCTTTTAATCAGTGAAACTCTTGCGAATGTTTAAAACGAATGTGCACGGCGCTGAGGCGAGCGACACATTTTGAAAACGACCCGTTGTCAATCAGTGACATTCTTGCAGAAGTTTAAAACGAATGTGCGCTGCGCTACGGCGAGAGCCACATTTTGAAAGCGGCCCGCCCTCCATCTGTGAAGTTGCTGCCACTTTTTAAGCTTCAGAGTCATAAATGGTGAGGACGTCTCAGGCGAAACGCCTGGCCCGCCCCAAGAACTTGCTTCGGGGTGCGACAGAAGGCAGTTATCTATAAGGAGAGGGAATGGAGGAGGAGCAGGAGGAAGAGAAAAAGGAGCAGGAGCAGGAGCAGGAGGAGCAGGAGCAGGAGGAGCAGGAGCAGCAACAGGAGGAGGTGGAGCAGGAGGAGGAGGAGGAGGAGGAGCAGAAGCAGCAACAGGAGGAGGAGGAGGAGCAGGAGGAGGAGGAGGAGGAGGAGGAGGAGGAGGAGCAGGAGGAAACGCGTTCGGTGAGGCCTCGGCCTGCGCACCGAGAGTCCACCCCAGGGCTAGCCGCGGCCAGCCTCCACGGGCCCCCTGGGTCTCCCCGGCCCGCCTTCGCAGGCCGCCCGAGCCGCCCGGGGAGCGGCCGCGACTCCTCGACGGCTGCGGCGCGGAGCTCCCCGGCGGTGGAGGGCTTCTCCGAGGGGCTCAGGCGATCCGTCCTCCTCCTCCACCTCCTCCTCCTCCTCCTCCTTCTCCCTCCTCCCCCCCCTCCTCCTCCTCCTCCCACTCCCCTTCCTCCACCTCCTCCTCCACCTCCCCATCCCCTACTCCCCTCCTCCTCCCCTACTCCTCCTCCTCCAGCTCCTCCCCCCTCTCCCTTCTCCCTCCCCCCTCCTCCTCCTCCTCCTCCTCTCCTTTTCCCTCCTCCTCCTCCTCCTCCTCCTCCTCCTCTCCCTCCCCTCCTCCTCCCTCCTCCTCCTCCTCTCCTCCTCCTCCCCCTCCTCCTCCTCCTCCTCTCATCCTCCTCGTACTCCTCCTCCTCCTACTCCTCCTCCTCCTCCTCCTCCTCCTCCTCAGGTCGCCTACGGCCCTGGGGGAAACCGTGCACCTGACGGCGCCGGTGGAGGCGGCGCCAGGGTGAAGCCAGGCCTGTCCCTCTACGGGGAGAATAATCAAGAATAGTCGAAGAGCCTGGGGACGATCTTGTGTTAGATGTTTGGTTGTCACCGAGCGCGTTCCACCACTCGCAAAGTGCCTACTCGCAAACGTATCATTATTATTGCATGGTTTCTTGAACAACAAACTGATTGTCTCGATGTAATGTTTCGTAGATCGCCCCAGCGGATCCGGGCCATTTGCGAATAGTCATTTTGCGAGAAGTGAAACCCGCTCGATTATGTTTGATCATATTTGCACATCGTTTGTCTCTTTTTTGGTTTCGGGCCAAAGCCCGCCTGGAGGAGGACGTTCCCGACCTGGCACAAGGGTGTGGAGACAGGTTTAGACCACCAGGGCGGCCTGATGAGGCCGGCTGGGGTTACTTGTGGGGGGGCGGTTTGGCGCGCAGAGTCCTACCAGGTTGGAGGGAGGGGCCGCGTCGAGGAAGGTCGAAACTCTGCGTGTGTCTGCGCGTCCTTTGTCCATCGAAGAAGAACAAACGCTATAAACATAAACGTTTGGCGCTCCGCGCGGATTTCTTGGATCCGCGCGGAGGCCCCCCTGGCGGCGCCTCCGGCGCCGCCCCTGGCGCGCCCCGCGTGCCAGGGAGGGGGGTCCAGGCCGGATCCAAGAAATCTGCGCGGAGCGCCAAGAGTTTTTGCTCATGCCGTGTATTCTTCTTCTTCTTTTTCTTCTTCTTCTTCTTCTGATGTTGGCCAAATCTCAGGAGGGAAAAAGACACACAGACACAAGTAATCGCCGATTCCCCAGAAAATATAGGAAAATATGGGAAGTGGGGGTGGAAGACGAAACCCCAAAAAATACGGGAAAATATGGGGCATCGTTTTATTTGTTTGTATTTTTTGTGTGTCCTGGGGCCCCTTCAAAATCGCTGCAACGGCGCCCCCGTTCAGTCAGCTCCTTCCGCCAGCGCGGGCGCCGCCGACGCAAAAGAGTGTCTGCGCGCCCCCGGCCCTCGCGGCTGCCCCCCCCTGGAGCGTCGCCGCCACGGCGGGGCTCGCTCCGAGGCTCCGGCCACAGCTCTCACCCCTGGACGGGTCTGTGGGAGGCGATTTTCGGGCACCCGAGCCCAGACATGATCGCGTCGTAGAAGTTGGAGGGTGAAAGAGGGGGGTTGCAACAGGGGGTCTTCAATGGGGGCTGAATGGCCCATGTATGCTCAATGTATCGTTCATGTCATGTATGCAATCGGGTACGATTGGCATGCAATGTTGGTGGTCATTGAGGGCCAGTCGTTCTTGCCCGCGCGTTGCCCGCGCGGGCACACGCGCCGTCCATCCATTATCGTTCATGCGTGCGGGCGTTCTTGCATTATCGTTCTTCCAGACATCTCCCGTCCTGATGGTTCTTTTAAAGAATCATCAGGGCGGGAGGTTTTGGGCCATTTTCGGCCCCGGGGGGCCCTCGCCAGGCCTCGGGACGGTCAAAAAAGGATTCGGGACGGAAATCCGGTCCCGTGGAAAGAGTCGGGATTTCCAGGGACGCCGTCCTGAAAAAATCAGGACGTCGCCTGTCTGGGAACCCAGAGCGCCATGCAGAAGAAGGGGCGGTGTTTGTTTCGCCGTGCTAGTGCCATCCCATCCGCAGGTCCGAGGCAGCTTTTGAACAGAACTTGCATGAAGGAAGCCCTGGAAACGAGCGAGCTTCTGGACCCGTTCCCGTCAGGACCTTTTAAGCTTTACATCGTGTCGGGAGGAGGAGTAGGAGTTGGAGGGAGGAGGGGAATGAGGAGCAGCAACAACATCGAAGTGTTGGAACGCCTTCTGCCTCCGTCGGAGCTCCCTGGAGGGTATCCTTGGACCTCGAGAGGGCTCTGGAGAGCCATGGGTACCCTAGATGCCGGTATGTTCGTGTCGTGCCGACGCTGCGGCGATACTAGCGCGGGTTTTCAAGGAAAAAACGCGGCCAGTGGCCCCGAGTCGACAAGCATCGAACGATCTTTGCGCTGTCGAAAAGAGAGGATCGTTCAAGGTTGAACGGTCCACGCGGTGTAGCGGATCATTAAAAAACGGCAGACACGTAATCTCTGAGGTCCGCGCGGAGTTCTTGAGTCGGCGTTGGGTCCCCCTGGCGGCGCCGCCGGTGCCGCCGTTTGCGCGCGGAGGGCGCCAGGAAGGAGAGCCAGCATCGACCCCAAAAATCCGCGCGGGCCTCGGATATAAAGTATGTCGGCGCAGTTTTTTTTTTTTTTTTTTTTTTTTTTTTTTTTTTTTTTTTTTTTTTTTTTTTTTTTTTTTTTTTTTTCCGTTTTTGTGTACGCAGGACAGATGTCGAGATCGTCACGCCACGAACTTGCCGTGAAGACCTCCAGGGTCTCAGGGAGGTCAGGTTTGTTTTTATTGAAGCGTTGAGCCTCACCGAGATGTTCCCTTTCGTCGTCTATTATTAGCGACCATTAGTGGCGAATCGGTAGTGATTGGTGGACGGTTGGTGCGGGGCGCCGCTATTCGGTCTTCGCAGTTTGCGGCTAATCCGCCAACATCGTGATTGATATTGGTTTCCATAAACACGAACGTAAGGGATGAATTCCGCTGTAGATCGTGGCATGACATGGCTACGCACACATATCGTCGACCTGGTCGACAAGATGTTGCGGTCACCGAAGCGGGCTCATATCGGAGGTTGGGGGGTGAGATCGCAGTGGAACGGAGACCCCCAACCGGGAAGTCGTTTCGTTTCGTTTCGTTTCGTTCGTGTCGTGCGTGCGGGCGAGACGAAGCTGCGTGAGCGCGCGAGAGGAATGAACCCGCCGTTGCTAGGGCGAAGTTCAGACAAATGTTGCTCCCCCGTCCGTCCGTCAGTCCGTCCGTCCGGCGGTGGCCCTAGCGGTGTCCCGCGGTGTCCCGTGGAGTCCCGTGTGGTGTCCCGTGGTGGCCGCGATTGCTAGGGCGAAGTCAAGACAAATGTTTCGCTCCCGTCCGTCCGTCCGGCGGTGGCTCGCGGTGTCCCGCGGTGTCCCGTGGTGTCTTGTGGTGTCCCGTGGTGTCCGCCGTTGCTAGGGCGAAATCAAGACAAATGATTCTCCCCCGCCCGCCCGTCCGTCCGTCCGTCCAGCGGTGGCTCGCGGTGTCCCGCGGTGTCCCGCGGTGTCCCGTGGTGTCCCGTTGAGTGTCATCGATAGTGAGATCGATACTGAGATCGATGTGGTGCCCCGAGGTTTCCCGTGGTGTCCCATGGTGTCCCAGAAAGTGAGATCTATAGTGAGATCCATGGTGAGATCGACAAGTGTCCCGTGGTGTCCCGTGGTGTCCCGTTGAGTGAGATCGATATTGAGATCGATACTGAGATCGATGTGGTGCCCCGTGGTGTCCCGTCGTGTCCCAAAAAGTGAGACCGATAATGAGATCGACAAGTGTCCCGTGGTGTCCCCTGGTGTCCCAAAAAGTGAGATCGATAGTGAGGTCGATAGTGAGATCGACAGGTGTCCCGTGGTGTCCCGTGGTGTCCCGTTGAGTGAGATCGATAGTGAGATCGATGTGGTATCCCGAGGTGTCCCGTGGTGTCCCGTGGTGTCCCGTGGGGTCCTATGGTGTCCCGTCGAGTAAGCTCGATATTGAGATCAATAGTGAGACCGATAGTGAGATCGATGTGGTGTCCCGTGGAGGCCCGTGGTGTCCCGTGGTGTCCCGTTGTGTGAGATCGATAGTGAGATCGATAGTGATATCGACAAGTGTCCCGTGGTGTCTCGTGGTGTCCCGTGGTTTCAGATGTTGGTCCCCCCCCTTCTCCCCCCGCCACAAGCTCCTTATCACCCGAAGGGTGGTCGTATAGGTATTGTGATCTCATATTATTCTGCAACGTGAGAAGAGGCGCTTCTTACACAAAACACGATGTCTCGTGTCTGCTCAGCTCAGGCCCCGCCCGGGCTCACCTCCTGCGGCGCCTGACAACTCCGCCGCCTGCTCTGGCAGCAGCCCGCATAGGGCACAGGTCCCACCTCCTGGCCTCGGCCTAGGTGGAAGGGAGGAGGAAGAGGAGGAGGAGGAGGAGGAGCAGGAGCAGGAGGAGGAGGAGCGGGAGGAGGAGGAGGAGGAGGAGCGGGAGGAGGAGGAGGAGGAGGAGGAGGAAACAAAAAGAGGAGGAGGACGAGGACGAGGACGAGGACGAGGCCGAGGCGAGGAGGAGGAGGAGGAGAAGGAGGAGAGAGGAGGAGGAGGAGGAGGAGGAGGAGGAGGAGGAGGAGGAGGAGGAGGAGGAGCGGGAGGGGGCCCCGAAAGAGGTGCACGTCCCTCCCCCCTTTACCTTTCGCACATCCACTGCCCCAGGCCTGGCGCGCCCTGGGCCCAGGAGCGTTGCCCACGCGTGCCCCCCTGGCCAAGCCAGGGAGCACGAGGGTTAAGTCGGGCCTGTCTCCCTACAAGGGGACTTTCGACGAAAATTAATATATATATATATATATATATATATACGCAAAAATAATAAGTAAGAATCCATAACAAATATGGGGACTATTTTTTGAGTATTTTTTGGCCTTCTTGGGGTATTTTTGGGGTATTTTTAATTTCTCGTCGAAAATCCCCGTGTAGGGGACACGCCCGACATAACACGAGGGCGCACGCACCGCTCTTGGACCCCGGATGGGCCAGGCCTGGGGCACCGGGCCTGCGCAAACCCAGCCGCCCCCCCAGAGATCCAACGCATTGAAAAAACAAGACGAAGGTTTTTTACAATTTTCGGCCTCTAGGGGTCCTCGCCGGGCCCTGGGACCGTCAAAAAACGACTCAGGATGAAAAACCGCTCCTGGGGAATGGGACGAGACTTCCGGGGGCCGCCCATGGAAAAAAGCACGACGTCGGATCTCTGGGCCTGGATGGGGGCGCCGGAGGTGCGCTTCGGCGGCGACGCCGAGAAGGCCAAGAAGGTCTACGAGGGCATCCTGCCCCTGGTCGCCGAGGACCGCCGCGCGCCGCCGCCCGGCGCGGTCGGGCGGGCGGGCCTGGCGGGCTCCACGCCTCGGGGGGTCCCACGGGGCGCGGGGTTCACGACCTCGGGGGCCTGGGCCGATCCGGGGGAACTCTGCCGGTGCCGGTGCCGGTGCCGCTCCCTCCCCGTCCTCCGTGTACGCAGCTCTGGGCCTCCCGCAGGGCCTCCCAGGCCAGCTTCCCCTGGGGGGAGCTGTGGTCCTCACCCCCCGGC